TCTAGCATTGAATTTGCCAAGGAGAATCAGCTCGTCAATTTTCGGTGTACTCTGAAGGATTTAGTTGAGTTGGCTGTGGTAGATCTCCTTGGTGTCTCCCTCCGAGTCCAGTCCTGGTGTGTAGGTGCCGATGATGGTTAAGTGTTGGTCAGGCGTAGGGTCATAAAACGCTCATTGATGCCAATTGGGAGCCCACTGAGGTTGTTGACGAGCTTGTTGTCGGTTACAAAACCCATGGCATGCAGGTGTTGTTCATCTGCAGGTTTACCCTTCCAAAAGAAGGTGTAGCCTCCACTTGCCTTTCATCAACCAGACGGGTTTTGCTGAGGGCTGGAATATAGATGTTAAACTGTCTCCGCTCGCATGCCACAATGGCCGTTCTGCGCTCTGGACAGTGCAAGTTTGGGTTGTCTGTGAGGGTCCTGACATTCCAGGATCCAATGTTAAGGTTATACTTCTTCTTGTTTCGACCGTAAGTATCGATGCTCCCTCTGGTCACGGTCAGCCAGACAGGATGTTGCTAGGCAGACTACGTTTAGGGCACCTTTGCTAGCCCTATCCCCCATTTGGGGTGACCAGAATGTTTCCTTGTGGGATGCTCAGTCACAGCTACAGCTGCCGGGATGCACTCCTGCCGAATCCGAGTGCATGACGACTTTCTAATAGCTGACGCCTTGTGACTTGGTGCTGGCTTGTGACTTGGAACGTTTAGCTCCAAAGGCTTGCTCTGCTCGCCACTTGCCAATCACCCAAGGACTTTGGGTATGTAGTGTGCGGGTTAGATGGCACTGTTCCTGGAGGGTGCCAGTGCGTGAAGGAATTAACGTGCAGTGTCTGTTGTACACCAGGCTCCCGCACAAAGCTCGGCCAGGAAGCAAGCCTGGGCCCAATGGCAAGGCAGGAAACGGATGTGATTGGAAGGCTTTGTTTTGAAACACCAGACATCACGTGGCTCCTCCGTGATGTGCCCTTGGCCATCTGGACCGCAACTCGTCTGCCCCACCAGGGTGAGCCGTTGGCCACTTCGTATGCACCCCGGAATTTTGTCCAGCAAACACTTTAGCACTAACTGGTCGTGTGCGTGTTGGAGAGTTAACCCAACACGACGACAACATTTACAATTCGAGTAAGACGGGTTCATAGCGCAGCGCGCTCACCGTGGCACCATTGCTCACGACACCGCTCACGACACACACACACGTGTACACACAAACACACACACGTGTACACACAAACACACACACGTGTACACACAAACACACACACGTGTACACACAAACACACACACGTGTACACACAAACACACACACACGTGTACACACAAACACACACACGTGTACACACAAACACACACAAACGTGTACGCACAAACACGTGTACACACAAACACACATACATACGTGTACACACAAACACGTGTACACACAAACACACACGTGTACACACAAACACACACGTGTACACACAATCACGTGTACACACAAACACACACGTGTACACACAAACACACACACGTGTACACACACACACGTGTACACACAAACACACACACGTGTACACAAATCACGTGTACACACAAACACACACGTGTACACACAAACACACACACGTGTACACAAATCACGTGTACACACAAACACACACGTGTACACACAAACACACACACGTGTACACACACACATGTGTACACACAAACACACACACGTGTACACACAATCACGTGCTGTACTCACTTTTAGCCTCTGCGGGCGCTAGCGAGATGCCTAAGATGATGGTCACGACGAGGACGGTTATCCATTGTGACGTCATAATTCAAGCAGTAGTTGTGGGGAGCCAATGAGAATGACAGCAACTGCAACCTGCATATCATCACACCAGGGGCGGTTTCTTCATTAGGGCGATTGGGCGACGCACCACCAAAGTGTGAAAGGGACTTTTTCAATCACATTAACAATCTCATTCAACCACAGAGTTACGCTCGCCGTTACTGTGCCTCTGGATATAGTCCAATCAGCGTCATGTCACGTTCTGTGGAGTACCGCCTCTTTTTGGGCGATTTCACTCTGGCTGAGAATCGCCCAGAGTGTTCCCATAGACTTACATTCAAAGATGTTTTTTTTCGAACGGCAGGCGCTGCAATGCATTCTCTATGGCTTCCGGGAGGGCTCGCACTCACGTGCTTACGTCATCATACGTAAGCACGTTTCAGTCAACAATATTATTTGTCGCCACCTAGTGGAATCTTTAATTTACTGGTTAAAAACCCTTGTCAAACTCCATTTGAGCTTGAATTTTGGTAAAATGTTAATTAACATAATAACACACACACAAATCATCGCTGTCGGACGGAAGCCTTGTATGTCCAAAACTTTTACTTTTCAGGAAACGAAAGAAAACCTGTTTTTTCCCCAAAATAATTTCCAAGCTCTTTTAATGCTTTTCATTGGTTAAATATTTGTAAAACACATTGACAGATGTAAAGGGTGACCAATAGCATAAATTTTTTAAAAAATATGGAGATATAAAATATGGATTCTGCCTGATACATTTGAAGTATTCGGAATGACGGCAGGAAACCACTTGACGGGAAGCACACTCTTTTATTAAATCTTGACTTGTTCGATACAACGTGTGGTCTCTATTCTCACACTACACACTCCACTGACACGTGTGGTCACTACTTCTCCCGCTACACACTCCACTGACACGTGTAGTTACCCTAGCTCACGCTGCATGCTCACACTGCATGCTCACACTGCCCCGGTCCTTCCAAGGACAGCGGGACTAGGTGCCGCAGGGCCCGATCTCTTCCTCCTCCGTCTTCAGTCTTCGCTGGTCACCAACTCCCCGTGTGCTTGTGCGCACCACCTTATATACCCCCCGCTCTCGGGAGACGGGGCGTATGCGGACTTCGACGTGAGCATCCCCCTTAGTTAACCAATCCCCGCACGCTTGTCCCAGGATCCCATCGCTGTCAGCGCGCGTCCTATCACTGCTCGCGCGCGTCACCGATACCCAGCCAATCACAGCCTCATAACCCCCGACCCCGCGCTGACCCCTGATCCTTCACCGTCAGCGCGCGTCATCAACACACACAGCCAATCACTACGCGCTGGCACACGATCCTTACCCCAGCGCGTATCACCACTACATCACCCCCTCCCACATAGCTCGCAGCCGGCCCGGCTGCTAAACAAGACAACAGAACACAACATTAACACAACAAAAACCCCACCCCCCCAGTGTGCCCCGTAACGCAACAACAACAACACAACAACACAACAACCGACAACCTATATACAAACCGACAAACAAGACAACAAAAGTCGACAACAACACACAATACCAGACAACAAGTTATGTACAAACCGACGAACAATACAATAAAACCAAGTCCCAGAAAGGGAACGTGTCCAGCGTCTCTGTGACTGTCGAACCCCCCCCTTCCGCTCACTCCTTCACCGGACAGAGCGGTCGGGCGGATGAGGAACGCAGTGACGAGGCGCTCCGGCCGCATCGGCTCCTCATGCGGCAGGTCATGAAAAGTTGCGCGACTTAGCGCGAGTCCGCCTGGCCGGTCCATCGTATGGAACGGGACACTGACGAACGTCCGGTGGCTCCGGCAGCCCTGGAAGGCGCGGATCGGGCCTGGAAGGACCGGCCGCGCTGCGGGGATCCGGCCACCGGTGGTCGGCAGCTGTCAGTTCCGAGACACCTGGGAGCGGATCAGGCGGAGACATGTGAGGATCAGGCGGAGACATTTCCCCCCTCGGGTCGTCGGTCACGTCACATGCTCGGCCCTCACGACACAAAGGGAGGCCATATGGAGGCGAGAACGGTTTCAGTCGGGAGGGGTGGATGTACCAACGGCGCTTTCCCCACTTTATCTGAACACATTGGGGGCGTGCAACCCCCACAACCTCAACGGGTCCCCGCCATGGCTTCAATAATTTAGGCGACGTAGCCAAAGGTGCCTGAGGGCAGTGCAGCCAGGCCCTATCGCCTGGTTTCCAGTTGTGCACGGACACCTTCCGTGCACGCAACCGCTCGTTGGCAATTTGCCGAGCCCGCGAATTAAGCCGTGCGGCCTCCCGTGCCTCGGTCAGCTTATGAATGTTGAATTTAATATGTTCAGCCAATTTCGAATTCGTTCGTGGCGCGGACAATCCCAGCTGCGTTTCCATAGGCGGGTCGGCTTCCCGACCATACATCAGATAGAATGGGGAAAATCCCGTTGCCGCATGGGGGGCCATTCTATACGCGGCGAGGACCCCCGGGACCTGCAGGTCCCAGTCAACATGTGCCTCACACACCTGCTGGCACAGCATAGAAGTCAAAGTCCTGTGGAGTCGCTCCACCATCCCGTCTGTCTGTGGATGGTACGGGGAGGTACGCACCTTCTTAGTACCCAATAGGTCGCACACCTCTTGCAGCAATTTACTAGAAAAATTTTTCCCTTGGTCGGTTAGCAAGCGTTCGGGAGCCCCCTTGTCCAGGACGTAGCCCTGGACAAAGGCGTCCGTCACAGCCGCCGCCGACTGGTTGGCGAGTGGCCATGCCATAAGCCACCGGGTAAAGTACTCGACACCAACCAACAGGTACTTATTCCCCCTTGGCGTGACTGGAAAAGGCCCCAAAATATCGAGCGCAACTAGCTCGTTAGTGCGCGAAACCTGAATAGATTGCAGCGGCGGATTTGACGCCACGGCTGGCGGTTTTCGTCTGGCGCAATCAACGCACCCCTTTAGAATGTTCACCACATCACTCCCCATCCCCGGTCAATAATAGTCACGCTGAAGCAGAGCAAGCGTTTTGTTGACCCCTAAATGCAAGAGGCGTTCATGTGCGGCCAGGGCAACTTTCCCCCTTACAGCGGAAGGCACCACGAGTGTGTGCCTTCGGGACAAATTGTCCCATCTCATTAACAGGCCCTGCTTGAGCACCCAGGAGCCAGTTCGTTCCCGGCCCTCCTCGGGACCCCCCACCCTGCGGCGCAGCGCGAGCAGGGAGCTGTCAGCCATTTGGAGACGGCCCCACTCAATCAGCGACAATGAGAGCAGCGAGTCCTCTCCTTCAGGGGCAGCGGGATCATCGGCGATCGGTGCATCCGCGGTCGCGGCGAACGCACCCATACTATCCGCAGCTGGCGGTTTACAGCGCGACGATCCCATTAAGCACGCACATTTGTGACAAGGCGACAATCGCGACAGGGCATCGGCGTTAGTGTGGCGCAATCCCTTTCGGTATGTGGTCGTGAACTGATAGTCCTGGAGGACTTCCAACCACCATGACAATTGGCCCGAGGGTTGGGCAACCCGCAATGAATACTGAAGTGCCGCGTGGTCCGTCCGGACCGTAAAGTGACGGCCATAGAGGTATGGTCTAAATTGTTGTACAAAAAAAACAATAGCCAGCAACTCGCGACGGGTGACGCAGTAGCGCTGCTCCACCGGCGACAAAACCCTGCTACCATAGGCGACCACCCTTTCGACTCCCCCGATGACCTGTGAGAGTACCCCCCCAATGCCCGTGTTGCTAGCATCCGTGTCTAGCAAGAAAGGACTTGTAAAATCAGGATAACGCAAGGGCGGGGCACCCACCAAGGCGTCCCGGAGGGAGCAGAATGCGGCCTCCTCCTCCGGTCCCCATCGGAACTTGACTCCTTTTGCCGTTAGAGCGTGCAAGGGTTTTGCAATGGTGGCGAAATGCTCAACGAATCGGCGATAATACGAAGCAAAACCGATGAAACTGCGCACGTCCGAAACCGACGTGGGCGTTGGCCATGAACTGACACAGTTCGTCTTCGCGGGATCGGTAGAGATCCCCGAAGAATCGACAATGTGGCCCAAGTACCTCACGGACTTACGAAGAAGGTGGCATTTGGCCGGCTTAAACTTTAATTTAGCCGATCGCATCCGCAAGAACACCCCTCTCAATCGCTGGAGGTGTTCCTCGAACGTTTTACTGAAAACAATGACATCGTCTAGGTAAATCAAGCAAGTATCCCATTGCAAGCCCGACAAAACCAACTCCATAAGGCGCTGAAACGTCGCGGGAGCGGAGTGAAGACCCATGGGTAACCGGTTAAACTGGAACAGGCCCCCTGGAGTCCGAAATGCCGTCTTGGGTCTAGACTCGTCGAGTGGCAGCTGCCAGAATCCCGACAACAAATCCAGAGTCGAAAAATATCGCGCGCCAGATAATGCATCGAGGGACTCGTCCATTCTGGGGAGCGGATATGCGTCAGCCACGGATATCTTATTCAGGCGACGGAAATCTACGCAAAATCGCAAGGACCCGTCTTGCTTTTTAACCAGCACAATAGGTGCTCCCCATGGACTGGAAGAAGGCGAAATAATGTCGGCCGCCAGCATATCGTTAATGGCCGACTGAACGTGTTCCTTTTCAACAGGACTCGCCGGAAGGGATTTAGCCTGACAGGTGCCGCATCGCCTGTTTCAATGTGGTGGTGCAACAGGTCCGTGCACCCAATGTCATATTTATGCTTACTGAAGACGTCAGAAAATTCAATCAGTAACGCACGCAGCGCACCCAACTGTACCGCTGACAAATCGGTCGAGTCCGCGCACAGCGAATCGACCCATTCAAGGTCCTCCCTCGATGGATTGCTCTGCGTCGGGCTTGGGTCAACCTGTGCAACTAGGCGCTCCTCCGCAGGGACCCGTGCCGCGTGAGCTAGCACAGTGCCCTGCTGAATAACGGCCGGCCGCGAACCAGCGTTTAAAACCATCACGAACGGGTCCTTGTCAGCCCGAACCAAAGTGTGAGCCACCGACAAATCGAGACCCCCCACAGCCCTATTAGAAGGACCCAAAAGCATGCCTCGTTCCGAGGTCTC